GGATAAAACCCACTTGGTTGTGGTGTATAATTTGTTTGATGTGTTGCTGGATTCTGTTTGTTAGGATCTTGTTGAATATTTTCACATCAATATTCATCAGTGATCTTGGTCTGTAATTTTCTTTCTTTGTTGGGTCTTCCTGGTTTGGGGATCAAGGTGATGTTTGCTTCATAGAATGTGTTGGGTAGTATTCTATCTTTTTCTATATTTTGGAAAAGATTAAGTAGTATCGGTACTAGTTCCTCTTTAAAGGCTTGGTAGAATTCTGACGTGAAGCCATCTGGTCCTGGGCTTTTCTTTTTAGGGAGATTTTGTATAGTTGATGCTATTTCAGAACTTGATATAGGCCTATTCAACATTTTCACTTCCTTCTGGCTAAGTCTTGGAAGGTGGTGTGCTTCCAAGCATTGGAAATTTCTAAGGGGTCTGTTGTTATTTCATCTTTACCATTTTACCATGAAATTAGTGATTTTACTCTTTTTAATTCTTGGTTAGGTTGGTCAAAAGTTTATCTATCTTATTGACTTTTTCAAAAATCCAGCTTTTTGATTTATTTATCTGTTTGTAATCCTTTTGTTTTTAATTTCATTTAATTCTGCTCTAATTTTGGTTATTTCTTTTCTTCTGCTGGGTTTTGGATTGGAGTGTTCTTCCTTTTCCAGTTGCTTGAGTTGTCCCATTAAGTTGTTAACTTCCTCTCTTTCCATTTTCTTGAGGAAGGCTTGCAGTGCTATAAATTTCCCTCTTAGGACTGCCCTATCCCAGAGGTTCTGGTAACTTGTATCTTCATTATCATTTTGTTCCAAAAATTTGGTAATTTCCTTCTTGATCTCGTCTCTGACCCACCTATCGTTCAATCATTCAGCATAAGGTTATTTAGCTTCCATGTTTTTGTATGAGTCTGCAGATTCTTGTTGTTACTGAGTTCAACTTTTATTCCATGATGGTCTGAGAAGATGCAAGGAATGATTTCTATTCTTTTAAATTTGCTGAGGTTAGACTTGTGACCTAAAATGTGGTCAATTTTGGAGTATGTTCCATGGGCCGATGAGAAAAATGTATATTCAGTTTTGTTAGGATGAAATGTTCTGTAGATGTTCGTTAAGTCCAAATGCTGAATGGTTAAGTTTAAATCTGAAATTTCTTTGCTAAACTTCTTGTTGGAGGAGCTATCCAACACTGCCAAAGAAGTATTAAAATCTCCAGCTATGGTGGAGCTGGGAGAAATCAAGTTGCTCATGTCTATTAGAGTATCTCTTATAAATTGAGGTGCATTCTGGTTGGGTGCATAAATATTGATGATTGAAATCTCATCATATTGAGTATTACCCTTAAAAAATATAAAGTGTCCATCTTTATTCTTGATTACTTTTGTTGGTTTAAAGTCTATTGTACCTGTGAATAAAATTGCAATACCTGCTTTTTTCTGCTTTCCATTTTCCTGGAACATAGATGGCTATCCCTTCACCCTGAGTCTATATTTGTCTTTTAGGGTAAGATGGGATTCTTGTATGCAACTGATATCTGGCCTGAGTTTTTATATCCAGTCAGCCAGCCTGTGCCTCTTTAGAGGGCAATTTAAGCTATTCACATTGATTGAGAATATTGATAAACCTGGTATAATTTTGGGTATCGAGTTTTTCGAAATTCCAGTGGACATTTTTAATCCTTTTGCCACTGTGGAAGTTGGAATTTGATCAAAAGTTTCTGTATGAGTTTACTTATGTGGTGGAGGATTGCACTGGTCTTTATGGAGGATAGGTCTGAGAATATCCTGGAAGGCTGGTTTAGTTATAGCAAATTTCTTCAACGTGTGAATGTTATTAAAGTATTTAATTTCTCCATCATAAATGAAACTCAGTTTAGCTGGATACAGGATCCTGGGTTGAAAGTTATTTTGTTTTAGGAGGTTAAAAGTCGATGACCACCCTCTTCTAGTCTGAAAGGTTTCAGCAGACAGATCTGCAGTCATTCTAATATTCTTTTCCTTGTAGGTTATGATTTTCTTATATCTAGCTGCTTTCCGAATTTTCTCTTTCATATTAACTTTAGTAAAGTTAATTATAATGTGCCTGGGGGAGGTCTTCTTCAGGTTGAGCTGTGCTGGGGTTCTGAAACTGTCTGCTATCTGAATTTCAGAATCTCTTGGCATGTCTGGAAAATTCTCTTTCATAATTTCATGAAGTAGAGCTTCTGTGCTTTGTGAAGCCACTTCATCACCTTTAGGGATTCCTATATGATGAATATTAGTTTTCTTCGAATTATCCCAGAGCTCTTTGACAGTATCCCAGAGCTCTCTCTGTTTTTGCTCTCCATTTCTCTTCATCCTTGTGTACTTGGGCATATTCAGAAGCTTTGTCTTCAATGTCAGAGATCCTTTCTTCTGCCTGCTCCATTCTGTTACCAAGGGATTCTACCGTATTTTTCAGATCTTTGAGGGCTGCAACCGCTTGCCTCAGTGTTTCAAAATCTTTGGTCTTTTTATCTTTGAAATCGTTGAATTCTTGAGACATCTTTTGAATAATTTCTTGAGACATCTTTTGAATAATTTCTTGAAATTCTAATTCCCTCCTTTCTTCCCTTCTGTTAATTTTATTTGCTATCCAGATTCTGAACTCAGTTTCTGACATCTCAGCCATCTGTTTATTGATGGGATCTTCAATTGCACCTGCCCCATCCTTCCTTGGGGGAGTTGATCTACTCCTACTCTGGTTATTCAAATTACCAGAGTTTTTCTGCTGATTCCACCCCATGCTAAATTTATACTGTGTGGAGATCTTACCAGAACCGTTCAGTCAGTGGCTGCCACCGGAGAAGATGCCGACTTCCTCTGGTTGCCCAGAGACGCAGAGTGTCTGTCCGGAAGAGCCTCAAGGGTGTGAACCTTGTTGTTTCCACTGCTGTGACTGCTGCTCTTTGCCTTGGGGTGCCATTCTAGTATGGTTCCCTTTCAACTGACAGTCCTCTCATAGTTCTCTGGCGGCTGGCTGGGGATGGTGGGAGCGTACAGCTCTGGCAGTTCTGGGCCCACCAGGCATGGGTACCTGGAGCAGGGAACTCCTCTGATGCTGCCCACATGATGTGCACAGCTCTATTAAGCAGTTCTGGGCCCACTTGGATTGGGGGAATCCTCTGCCACAGCCCGTGGGACACACGCAGCTCTAGTAAGCAGTTCTGGGCCCGTCAGGAGTGGGGGACCCCTCCCCCTTCACCTGCCACCTGAAGGAGGCCGACAGCGCTAGCAAGCAGTTATGGGGCCTCTTGTGCGGGTGCCTGGAATGGGGGACTCCTCCACTGCTGCCTGTGGAATGCCTAAAATAATATTTTTAAAACCGCAAGTAATCTTTAGTCAGAATGATATTAGTATACTCATTTGATGTAGGTATTATAAACTGTTATAACTATTTGGAAAACTTTGTGTCAGCTCTATTGAACCTTGGAATTTACTAAAAATTTGTTTTAGAAAGAAAAGACATACAGAATATATTCATTACAGTGTTCTTTACAAGAGCAAACAACAAATAACACACACACACACACACACACACATGCATATCTATTCCTCCCCCCCAAAATGAACCCAACACAAACCAAACCAAAATAAAATAAAAAACCAATGTGGGTCTAATATTAGGATAACACAGATAAATCAGCATACAAAAATATAATGGCTCAGTGCCTGTACCACAGTGGTTATGGCACCAGCCACATACACTGAGGCTGGTGGGTTCAAACCTGGCCTGGGCCAGCTAAACAACAATGACAACTGCAACAAAAAATAGCTGGGCATGTGGCAGGTGCCTGTAATTCCTGCTACTTGGGAGGCTGAGGCAAGAGAATCACTTAAGCCCAAGAGCTTGAGGTTCCTGTGAGCTGTGATGCCACAGCACCCTACTGAGGGTGACATAGTAAGACTTTGTCTCAAAAAAAAAATGATGGCTCGGCACCTGTGGTTCAAACGGCTAAGGCGCCAGCCACATACACCTCAGGTGGCGGGTTCGAATCCCCAGCCCGGGCCCGCCAAACAACAATGATGGCTGCAACCAAAAAATGGCCAGGCGTTGTGGTG